TTTGCATACTTTGCAAACTTTAGTAGGATATTTTTAATATAGTTTCTTCAATTGAAATGCTATTATAATAGTTATCTTGGTATATGTGATGCCCCAATTCCAGATACGGCCAAAGTAGTGACAGAATATTCAATTTTTTTCCTTCACCTGTGTAAATTTCCATATTGCAAATATACCCAGTCTTGCTCTCACATACCATTCTTACAATAAACCATATTTAGTCATTTTAGCTGGGTTAAGTTCGAAATAGGAGATCTCCCCTCTGGGGAATCATGGCCTTCATCTAATAATAATTCTAGCATAGTTTTATATATTGTTTGAAATTTACTAATAAAGTGGGGAGTCAAGATTGAATTTTAAATAACCTGGATAAAGATTTAGTCATGTTTGTATTGTCATTGAAATGCCAATAAGTCCAGATTTGTTTAAAATGATTTTGACTCATTGTCTCAGGAAATATTGGAACAGCTAGAACTGGATTTGTAGACCAATATTCTTTCCAAGTATCCTTTTGAGTATGCTCAATTAGCACTATAAGTCCTAAAAAAATTTTCATATCTGTTGGAGTAATAGGAGACCACTTTATTGCTTTCTAAATTTTGTGCTTTCCCAAATTTTGGTTCTATGTTCAACTGATGACAAAATAGTTCAAACAGATCGTCATCAAAAATCAAGTTGATGACTTCAATGATGTTCTTAGAATCAGACGGTATAACTGTAACCCCAGAATTACCTTCAAATTTTTCCAAATTAGGTGAAAGTCCTCTTTTGACCAATCATTATCTCGGCAACCAAGACGCAAATTACGCTCAAAATCATGTGGAATTGTTCAAATTTTCAGGTTCAGAATCACTTGAAATTACTAATTTTCTCCTTTTTGAAGGAATAACTGTATCACTGCCACTGTCAAAGCTTTCATCACTTTCACTTGAAATATCTGATAAATTGTCAGCAAATCTATCCAGATTTTTATCATGTTCTTCATCACTATCCATGGTTACTGAACACTTTAAAAATACCAAACTGATATAAAAAAGTTATTTTTATTACTAACGACGAGACTAATCACTTTTAATTCCTTTGTAATTTTTAACTTCAGCGAACGTGTTTCCCGTTACAATTTCTCTCTAAATGACAATGAAAAGCCGAGAATTCGGGTGATTGGCCACAAGCTTTAGAACAGAAAACACAAGAATTCTCGTGACCCGTCCGCAATGTGTTAACCACACCCAGTAAGGCCTTGATTCTACAGAGACCATGAGAGCAACCCGTAAGTCACTCCAAATAGCATCGACACAACTGCAAATAAGCACAGTGAAGTGCAAATCCTAGCTTCTCCATAACTACTTTGTTTCGAGTTCTCTTTCTGGAATACCTTTTCAGTGTGCTCACATTTTGCCAGTGCCGAGACATGCTCAGTGTGCCTCTTGGGCGGTACAGACTTCGGCCTTCAGCCTACCACCTCCCAGACTAAGACCACACAGGAGGTTCCGGAAGGAAAGAACCAGTCACACAGCACCTTCTCTTCCCTCTTAAGGCCCTCCATTCATTCAGTGGCAGTGTCCCTGCCTGCAGGCTTCAGTGTGCTCCAAGCCAATGGTGGCTGAGCAGCCGGCTTGGGAACAAGGAAGCCAGGGCCAGCAGGCAACAGAGGGGCACACTGATACAAGGATACCACCAAGAGGCATGAATTTTGCTTGTAGCTGCCCATTTTAACACAGCTCAACAGGCTGTTTAGATAATCACATTATCTAAATAATTCCACATTACACTTGAAATTAGAACCTGGAACAACATGCAGCCACAGGCCTCCACTGATAAGAGGAAGCACAGCACTGACCCTTGTCTCCCATTCTCCTAAACATGCCGGTGTAGTGAGAATAAGGGCTTTTAAGTCAGATGGTCCCAAACCAATTATTTTTACAATGCAAGTGCAAGTGATGTATTGGAATGAACGTTATGAATCAGAAAACTTACACAACCGAGAACTATAATATGCTATACAAACAACACAAGATGAAGGTATACTGTTTTCCAGCTTTTTTATTCTCTTAACATCTTAACAAAAGAATATTCCCCAAACTTTAAAAAATACAGTTTTATATTATATACATATGAGTACAGATTCCAATATCATACAAACACTGCCATGTTAGAAATACAGTGGGAGGGCATGCTATAATTCACTGCCTCTTGGAGGGTGTAGGCTCATGGATATGTTTTATTATTCCAACTACTTCCGTTACTTGTTATCCTGATAAACTATTAGGCACCTAGGAAATTCTCCAATGCATTGTGAGCGATCTAAGTTCTATTAAAGAGAAGTGGAAATTCTCCAGTTTCCATGCTCTGGACACTACTTTTTTAAAAAAATATTAAAAAATGACTGACAATAATTGGAATTGATTCCTTATAAGTTAATCAAGAAACCTAAGGAAAAAAATTCTAAATGATAGTTTATTTGTATTTAAAAATACATTGGAAATTCTGCATATGCCCATGATCAAACTTATTTTCAATGCACATTAAATACTGATGACATGGTTTGATCTGACAAGTCCTTTTTCAAAGTAGGGAGATTCCTGTACATTTCCACTGGCCCTGCTGCCAATGATGTATATTGCTTCCTTGCTAATGATGGCGGATGACCTTCATCTGCCATTGATCACCTGAACAGTTTTCCGACCATAACGATAATAACTGTAAGCTGATGCAACTGTGGTGAAAGCTGTAAAACACCTTTAATGGAAAAAAAGAAAATTTAGTTGTCAAGTAAAGATCAGTAACTATGAGAATGATAAAATACCTTAAAATTATTTAAAAAGTAAAAAAGGCTGTGGTATAAAATTATTTTTAACTACAAAAATTTAAATACACTGCTTTTCTTCAAGACCTCATTAGAATTAGTAACGTCAAACAAATCTAGTTCCTGAGCCCAAGAACATAATGATAATCCTAGCAATTGTCACTTTACCCAGACATTCCTCTAGGTGTCTTACATTCTCACTAGAGGACCAGTGCTAGAAATCGTGCCTGGGGAGGGTCCCTAGCAGCTGCTGGCTGCCAGCCGGGGCCTCCCTTCCCCAGCTGCCGGCTGAGGCCTCCCTTCGTTCCGTCCCCGGTGGTCAGCGCACGTCATAGCAAGTGATCAAAGTCCTGGTCGGTCAAACTCCTGAGGGGACACTTTGCATATTGGGCTTTTTATATATATAGATATTATTTTTGCAACAGAGAAGTTGGTCAGGGCCACGGAACCCACCATAGCCTGGCCTGGCTTCAACTCTGGAGCCATGTGCCCTTTCTACTACTCCATGCTGCTGAGAGTCTTAGACTCTATTTCTTGAAATCTGAGTCATTTAAAATAAATTTCATTTTTCTTTTCTGATTCTTCCTTAAGCGAACTGCCAGACTGACCCGACTTTCTGCTGGAAGTTAGATCAGTGGTGCTCATGGCTTGCTGAATGCTCACAGCCAACAGGGTACTTCTTAGTGCGTCGAGCACTTCTGCTCCACCAGGCGAGGTTGTAGGACCATCCAGACTATTTTTATTTGATCCCAAAGCTGTTCATGCCAGTTAAATATTCTAAATTCACACATACCAATGAAAAATACATGTAGGAAAAGCTGCTGTTTCTGAGAACTAAGTGGATGCTTTGGAAAGACTTGATAACCAGCCAAGTTGCTAAAAAATACTATAAAGTAAACAGATAATGTGGCTATTAAAATACTAGAGAAAATGTTACAAAATCTAGAAAGTTTATATTCAGATTGCTTTGTAAATGTCTTAAAGTCTTATATCACTTTAAAATAAGCAGAACATGAAAATCAGAGATGTATTCAAAGAAAAGGTGTTGGTCTTATTCAGAAGATGTAGAATGAATAAGAATCACTGTACACTTACATATCCTATATAATAAAAGCCTAGGTGGAGTCACGCCCTTGTGTGACATCATCACAAGATGGCCGCCACAAGATCGCCACCCTCACATTGTCACAAGATGGCCGGCAGGGGAGGGCAGTTGTGGGCGATCAGGCTGGCAGGGAGGGCAGTTTGGGGCCAATAGGCTAGCAGGGGAGGTCAGCTGGGGGAGATCAGGCCAGCAGGGGAGGGCAGTTGGGGGTGACCAGGCCCTGCAGGGGAGGGCAGTTGGGGGGACCAGGCCTGCGGGGGAAGGCAGTTGCAGGCAAGATCAGGTCGGCAGGCAAAGGCAGTTGGGGGCGATCAGGCTGGCAGGGGAGGGCAGTTGGAGGTGATCAGGCTGGGAGGGGAGCAGTTAGGCGTCAATCAGGCCAGCAGGGAAGCTGTTAGGGGGCGATCAGGCTGGCAGGCAAAAGTGGTTAGGGGCAATCAGGCAGGCAGGTAGACGAGCAGTTAGGATCCAGCAGTCCCAGATTGGGAGAGGGATGTCTGATCCCCACAGGGGTCAGGCCTAAACCAGCAGGCGGACATCGCCCAAGGGGTCCCAGATTGGAGAGGGTGCAGGCTGGGCTGAGGGACACTACCCCCCGCCACCCATGCACCAATTTTCTGCATCGGGCCTCTAGTATTTTAGAAAAGGTTTAGTGTGTGCATAATTTTTAAAGCTTCTTTAGCTTAACTGACTGGTTAACCAACCATTTTCTGGCTTAGACTGCATCAAGCAAGGTTTTAATTATAGAGTTAAAAGTATAGTAAGATGCAGTGCTTCAATATCAGTGTGACACATCCAAACTCTGAGAGTTTGAATTTGACATATTTAAAGGCTATATTAAGCACAATAAAATAAAATTCAAAACCCTTTCTCCAAGTTTCCCTCCACAACAGCCCTTTCACTAGGCTGGACACACTTCCCTGCCCACCCTCCTACACTTGACTTTGCACAGGGTCTGTCCTTCACCAAAATAGCCTCCCCTCAGTCTCTCCCAGTATAAAATCCACCCGGACCTCATGGTTCAAATGCCACTTCATCCCTGAAACTGTCCCTCTTCTTCCCACCTGGAAATGGCTTCCTTCCTCTGAAATCCCAACGTATCATCTGTACCTCTCATCCCCTTTTAACTTGCATGAAAGCTCCTCAAATATAACTTCTACACCCCATATTTGATAGTAAGCTTCTTAAGAATAATATCAACCATAAAATATAACCCATAGCTTTACCTGGTTGGTACTCAATCAACACTGTAAGAACAAAGTAATTCTAGGACTACCACAATAAGCCATTTTGTTGACATTCTCACAGGGTAATACTAAATTTAGCTTACCAGAGTATCGGAAGATAAAAGCCGTGAGCATAATTGAAAACCGGAGCTCCCAAAGAAGCTGCTACCAAAATTAACTGGACTGCTGTGTTTACCTAAAAAAAAAAAAAAAAAGTCATCCATGAACAGTGCCAACCAGATCCTGTTTCAAGCTTACAAGACAGAGAAACACAACATACCCTCAGCATGTTTAACGTTCTAATATTCCTGCCAAAGAAGCTGGCATTCACACAAAGGGGTGAATTTCACCAACTGGCCCATTTGTCTGCACAGCTGCTCTTCACAGCAAAGAGAAGGGCAACTGTCAGAAAATACCACTATCTTGCATTTCCATAGCAATTCAAAATGTTGCAAAGTTCTTTGCCTTTTATTTCAGTCATTAAAACAGCCCTGTGACTACGGAAATAATTTTACAGATGAAAAGGTAATGCAGTTAGTAAAGTGACTTGCCATTAATCACAGCAGGTTACATATCTTAACCTAGAACCCAGATTTCCCAGCACTTCATTCAGTGCTATCGCTTGCCTGCCTGTCAAAACTCATGAGGTTAGAACACTGAAATGCACTCATCTCCATGAGAGGCTCTCTGGAGGAAATGAGGATTCCCTACCTAAAAGACAACATGGAGGACTAAGGAAGAAACAGAAACAGAACCAGAAAGACACGAAGACTCCCTCTACTCATCCTGAAAAGTGCCTGGGGAAGAGTGGGTGACAGTGAACCAGCGGGTGGTGTGCCTAGAGAAGCACCTATGTTCTATCATCCATTCTGCAGCCAAATTACAAGAATTCCAATTTGTTTTAAAAATAAATAATAAAAACTGCCTGGAGAACTTCTTGCAAGACCAAGGATTTGAGGCATTTGTCCGTCCACTTCTTTAAGCCACTTCCTAGCTGTATCAAATTACTGTGACACAAATGTAAGTCACCTGAATTTAAAAAATAAAATAAAAACCCACATATATAGAAAAAGTTCCACCCAGGGAATTTCTGGTTTGAAAGTAATCAGCCTCTGGCTGGTGTGGCTCAGCTGGTTAGGGGTGGTCTTGTGCAAGCAGAGGCTGCTGGTTTGATTCTCAGTCAGGGCACATGCCCGGGTTCAGGATTGATCCCCGGTAGGGGGCATGTGGGAGGCAGCCAATAGATGTTTACTCTAACATCAATGTTTCTCTCTCTCTCTCTCCCCCTCCCTCTCCCTTCCTCTCGCTCTAAAATTCTATAAAAATATTTATTAAATTTAAAAATAATAAATAAGTAAAAGCCATCACCCCGCTGTTCCAAAGATGACAGGCATCGCCAGCCTAACAAACTGCCACTACAAAGGATGGGCACAAGAATGAGCAGAGCAAACTTGCCAAGGCCACTAGAAAGATACATGTGCCTTGGGAGCCATTAACAGTGTCCTCTCTGTGTGCGAAGATCGGGCAACAGCTATAATCCTGAAGTGGCTCAGCAAAACGGGATGGAGACTTAGAAAAGCAGTTGTTTATTAAACTGTGAATAAACTTTCTCCTATCCCTTTGCATGTAACAACCGAACTTGAAAAGGAAACAACCTTACTATAAATTGTTTTCACCAAAGGGAGGTGGGGTGGTGAAACCAGAAAGGAACCTTCATAACCTCTTTGTGTCTGCTTTCCCTAAATGGTGGCCCTATTACCTCATCTTACATTCTCAGACCACCACCACAAAACACAACACATATCTAAAAATTACAAAAGCTTTGAGAACAAAAATATTGGGTTAATGACCCCACTCTCTATCCACTACAGCCAATGCATTTAAGTTTGCCTCATTTTCAGTTGCTCCAGGCTGAGGTTTATATTCAGTGTAATAAGCTTAAAAGGACGCTGTGTGTCTCTTACCTTGCTGATGAAGGTTGGTTTTAACCTAGCAGTAGCATAGCAAGGATTGAAATACTTAGAAAGTGTTCGCTGGCAGAGGACAAAAAAAAGATAAAAATTTACTCAATTTAGCATTCAATTTCAAATAAGCATTTTGTTATTATATGTAGGTAACAGTTAGTCAGCGCTTACCACAGGCCTGGCTCTATGCTACAATAAGCCCTTTATCTGCACTTTCTATTTTCCTAAATGAGCATTATCTTCGTTCTTTATAAATTATGCAAACACTCCTAATAGAGCTTGGATGGGGGTAGCTGGTCTAGGTTTTAAGCTGCAGTTAGTTATGTGCTATCAACTGAAAGGATTTGGACTTAAAAGGAAAGCATGTCTGTTTTAAATTGATCATTCTGTGTTCACTGAAAACTACCAAAGCAAGATGACAGTTAATGTGTGTTTTTTAAAAAATTCTTAGCAAATAGATTTCTAAAAAATAACTGCCATAAATTATCCCCATAAAGTGAAACTCGGTATACAACAGATTATTTTTCCCCCCTTAAGTGCTAAGTAATAATAAAAGAACATTTTCTTTGAAATAAACTCACCGGTTCTGGAAGAGTTCGATATCTGACATAAAAAACAGCAACAATCAACATTATATCTCTTGAAATTATCATATAAGTAAGTGGAACTGAAAATCAAAAATAAAATAATTTTGGTTGGGATTTTTAAAATTACTAAGATATTACACATACAGTGAAGCCTTACCATAAACTGGTGTTTCTGATAAGCCTTACCATAAATGGGTGTTTTTCATAAGTAAAAATTTTCATTTTTTTATAAACATCTATTGAAAGTTTAGGATCCTTAAAGTGAACCACTTATTTTTATCTTCTTTTACATGCACTCAAAACAAAGTGAAAAGAAACTACGCTTTCAAAGTCTAAGTTTGCCTTTCAGAACGTTGACCTTCTAGGCCTCCTCCTGTTTTGTTTTTCTTGCACATGTTTTAAGCTGCAGTTAGTTATCAGTGTCAGCTTTACTCAGCTCTACCCACTTCTGTTATTTCTCAGCTTTGTAAGTTTGGGGGGAAAGATCACCACGCCCACTGTAAGTACATGGGATAAAATAGTAAAGAGGTTGGAAAGGATGTCAGGGTTCGAATCATAGTGGCGTCTCAGGCCCTTTGACTGCTTGCTTCTGCATTCTAGCCAACTTTATAAACAATAAAATTTGCTATATGTGCCACTTGTGAAGAAACAAAATGTTCTCATTCTTGTCTGGGCCGGTTCCTACCCCAACAATTGCTATTTTTTCTCCTGCCCCATTCATTCAGTGAATTCTAACTAAACATGAATTCAACTTGTCAATACTTTCTCATTATTCCTTAGATTCTACAGCATGACCCCAGAGGCAGAGCCAGCAGATGGATATTTTAGATGGATGCCAGGAGCCCCTACTACTCCCTTGTGGAATGAGAATGGGAGGGCAGAGGGCTTGTTTCACTTTATATCCTTCAGTGCTGCACGAAGTCTTAACCATCAACATGTATCAATTTCATAAGGGGAAAATTATTTTTTTTAAAGGAGAAAAAATCCTGAGGCTAAAACATAGTTCAAAATGTTTCAATTACTAAAATAAAGAATCACTGTATATCCCCCTTTCCATAATACTTTCAAACAGCTCTTTTGTGAATTACTTTTGAGGCTATACTTATGGTCCTTTCTAGCTTTGACATTCTGTTGATTTTGCAACTTGAGAAAAAATCTGACTAAAGAATTACAGATTTAAATTTTAAATCTCTGCTGGTCACAGCTATGATGTAAGTGTTGATCCTTGGCCTAGTCTGGATGACTAGATTTCTCCAAAGAGAAAGTGGTTCTCCATGGAACTCATGGCGTTTGGAATACACAGATGATACATACAGTTATATGAACCAAGAAACAAAAGCCAACCTGCCATGAGTTTTAGGGACATTTTTGTGACTGTCAACAACCTTTTCATAGCAGTAATTAGCTAGCACCACCTAACAGCAACCAGATTTTAAAATGCAGCAAACTTAGGCAAATTACATATAATAAATCTCCTAAACATAACATCAAACAAGAATAAGTACCTGGTAATGTATTTCATCACCATGGGGGAAAACAACCAAAAGACTTGTATGCATGCATATAAGCATACGTGATGGATGTGGACCCCAGGGGGTAAGGGTGAGGTCAGGATTAGGGGAATGAGGGGACATTGGGAGGATAAGGACACATTTGTAATATCTTACTCAATAAAGGGGAAATTATATATATATATAAGACTCAGGTCCCAGTTCTATTAACTACCAAAATTGTAATTTATTAAGCATTGTTTTAAATATTTCTTACATATTATTAAGAATATCAGAAAGAAGAGAACCAAGAAAACATAGGATAGAAAATTATCAAAGACATAAACAATGTTCAGAATTGGAGTTTTCAGACTGAAGGGGACTCCTTAAAACCCAGCACAATGAAAGACTCACTCCAAACTTGAGTAGGATCTAGAGCAGTGGTTCTCAACCTTCCTAATGCCAAGCAATTTAATACATTCCTAATGTTGTGGTGACCCCCAACCATAAAATTATTTTCGTTGCTACTTCATAACTATAATTTTGCTACTGTTATGAATCGTAATGTAGATATCTGATATGCAGGATGTATTTTCTGTTTTATATATCTACAGGTTGAGAACCGCTGAATATGATAAACTATATCAGCCTCCCTCTCCAAATGAAGAATTGGTGTCTCAAGCAGGTTAATCTACCCAGGGTCCCATAGTTAGCGGCAAAGCTGGTGCATCTAGGACTGTCTAATCTGAAAACTACTATAGGTCTTTTTTTTAGC